CGGGGGGGGTGGGGCATCGCTTTCCCCGTATTCATGTCACTGCTCTGCTGATAGCACAAATCACCTGTGAGGCTGCTTCACACTTACAATACAAATCTAGGTCATTTGTACAGTATTTAATTCTCTGTGTGTTCAACATGTCATGACTGCCATTGAATTGTTAACCCATGAAGGAGATCCATGAATTGGCGCTCCTGTCTGCCCCCCTTCGCTTTTGTATGCACAGAAAGCAGACAGATACAGTATACTGGTATGTGACATTTTGCATTGGGCGGAGCCTTGCATGATGACTGACCTATATATTGGCACAGTCAGGAGGTACCCTGTTGCCATGGCTCCAAGAGTAGCAGATGTAGAAAAAAAGATGAAGGTTAGCTAGTGATAGTCTTTATTTTGAGGACAAGAGAGAATCTGTATCAGTGATATTGCATTGTAGTCATCAGACAGATCCTTGTGTTGTTGCTCAATAAGGCATGAAGGTCCCTCTGTGATTTGACAGAGGTCTAAAATACCTTGACTCTGCCAGTGTCCCTAAGACGCCTTTGGGGGTTTGTCCTATATACACGCCTTTACACAAAGCTGCTTCTGCTGCTTGCACTAAAGACAGAACTCTCATCAAATATTTAACAGCCTGTGAGGCTGCTGCTGGTTGGGCTCAAAACCCCCCATCACATGCATGAAAGTGCCACATATGTCAGCAGAAACACTGAAATAATATAGACACACTGGCACATGGAGAAAACTGAGCTGTGGCTGCCTGATACTGCTTCATTTTTCCAGCAGAATGTCACTCTTTGCTACTCTGTGTTTGTATGTGTGTGTACTATTTCCCCTTATGAATAGCAGGGGAGTTGGGCAGCACAAAGGGGGTAATTGTTCTTGTCTGAACACCACCAACAGGAGGCTGCTGTGGCTGCTGCACTCACAGGCGAAGTCAGAGAAGAAAGACCAATAATCCATCATCTTGAGCAGGCCTCACCGTGACAATGAAGCACTGACGCACCATTTGACTGCGATGAAGGAATCTGTTTTGTTTAAACACCTCCTGATGCAAACAGCAGTTTTAAGCAAGATGGAGAAGTTGTTCAAACAGTTGAAGATAGTTGGTCAAGGCCAAGAAGTGAGAGACTGCTGATCAGTGTCAGTCAGTGTAAACAAGATTACACAGAGAGGCAAAGTGTTAAACAGAGAGCACTAGGACTGATCTTGGGTTGAACTCAGCTGAAATCAACTTGGAAGGAAATAAAGGATTCTATTGATTAAGTCTTTTATTCTACTCATTACAAAACATTCATTGCTTTAACATGTTCTTCTCAGCAAAACATCAGTTTTTTTTAAGGAATGCAGAATATTAAAGGGAGAGTGTAACTTAAATACAACCAATGGGCCAACACTTTACTTTAACCCCCTCTATTTAGTTTAATTAAGGCCTTATAACACACTGTTGTTTTCATTATTTGATCATCTTCTACAATAAAAAAATCAGAAAATAATGGTAAAATTCCCATAATTTGCCAGTGCCAAATATGATATATACAAATTACTTAGTTTTTCAACCAAAATCCAAAACTATTACAATTATTTGGAAATGTTTGGCATTTTTGCTTGAAAATGACTAAGATGATCAATTGATTATTAATAAGGGACCAATTAATTATCTGTCCTTGGACAAACAAATTAATTGACTAACCATTGCAGCTCTAACAATGTTGTTGAAAGCAAATATAAGGACATTCAAGCGAAGATTACTACAAAGTATTTGTCAGAAATAATAACTTTTACTTTATATTATTACAAATGTATTTTTGTGTGTTTACTTATGGGTGCCCAAAGAAGGAGTTATAGTTATTATGAAGTGTATCAATAAACAGCTCGATCCATGATATGCCTATAAAGGCTACTGCTAATAAATGGGGATTAAACATAAAATCTTGATAATAAGTGATATTATAGGACATTTTAAATTCACTGAAGCACAACACAGATCTTAATAGGAGCGATGTTGTTTTCCTTTGGGTGTGACAAATTGTGTTTTCTCGAAAAAGAAATGTCTAAATTTGAAGACAATGGACTGATTCAGTGACCACACTACTGCCGTGGGAGATTCACCCTACTGAAATATCAGGATGAATTGCACATTACACGACAGATGCCTATGACAAAAACAGTGCTCATAATATAAAATGACTGCTCACCGTTACACCACTGAAACGGGTGCATCAATGCGCCAGAGGGAGTCCTCGCCACTGCGATCCGATTCGTGTTGACCAACAAAGCGCAGCCGCCTGTGCTGATAGATGACCGCAGTAAAGTGCACGAGTAGGGCCCGTGACTCTCAGCCAGCAGTGTGAAAGGTGAGAGAGACAACAGCCCCTATATAAAGGTCGTAAGAGACGAATAGGACGCTGGATAAATAGCGGACCTTGATAGCGTACTATCATGCGCGTCCGGATTTATCCACGTAGATTCAAAAAGCAGAAATGCTGATGTGCATTCCCCGCTGTTTTGACTCTGAAATAATATACGGCATATAACACTGACCCAGCTGCATCATCTGTGTGAGAGGGGAAATTAGAGCACTGCCTCAATTTTCCTACTCCCGCCCCTCCGTAGACGCGTACTGACGCGCGGCTTGACAAATCCTCAGCTTGCCTGCGACGGCGTGTGTTGTGACGGCCTGGCTGACCGACTACATGGCATAGCTTTCTGCTGGCTTGTGTTACATTCCAAGATTCGAGAACAGAGTCTAGGGGAAGTGAGTTTAAACATAGCCTACTGAGATCGTGAGCTGCAGGGTCGGGCTGCTCCTCTAGGGGACTCTAACAGGGGTCCTTATTCTCTCCTTTCTATGCTTTGTGTATATACAAGTGACAAATTAAAGGAAAAACCTGAATCCTTGACAATGAGGGGATCCTGTAGCTGTAGGGGGCATTTGCTGGCTTGCTGCTTGTCCCCTTAGAGGGAAGGGTCATTGCAAATCAATATGAAGTTGTTATGAGTGATCACCTTCATACTGTGCTGAAACATTTCTATCCTGATGGAAGTGGTCTCTTCTAGGATGACACTGCCCCCTTCCATAGGGCACAAGGGGTCACTGAATGGTTCGATGAGTATTATGATTATCATTTTTAAGATTAAAAAACCCTTAAAAATTTAACTTAAGGTTCACTTTGTAGCTTTTTCATAAGCTTTCAACCACATCTCATTGGCTTCATGAAGACCCTAAAGTTTTCAAGATAAGGTGACTTTGCGCTCAGTTGTGTGTGTGTGTGTGTGTGTGTGTGTGTGTGTGTGTGCATCTTGAACTCAGAACAATTAGGGAAATATACAGGTCACAGATCATTTCACTTCAAATGGTGCTTTAGTGGTGCATACAGAATATACAGTACACTATCACTAAAATGATCAGTTTTTAAATGACCACAAACTGAACTTTACTCCTTTGCACAATACACCTGCGCAACAATTAGTTTGTCCGGGGTGAGGTGACCACGGCACATGCCAGCTTTGCAGTGTTGCTAATCCAACCAAGCCCTTTCCTGTAGAAAGGTTGAACCAAGCACCAGACTAAAAGTGTCAGAACTGTTTTAATCCTTCAGATTTTTATTTTATTTTTACATTTTATTTCAGGAGACTATGGCTCAGGAGGTACAGTGGGTCATCTCCTTCCTGACTTCAGCTTCCCCAGTCCACATGTCAGTGTGTCCTTGAAAAAGACAACAAACTCCACGTTGCTCCTGGTGGCTGTCCACCAGTGTGTGAGTGTTTGTGAGCATGAATAGGCAAATAGTGCTTCGAGTGTGCTTAAATGTATAAAAAAGCACTACACAAGTAAAAGACCGTCTCAGTTAATTTCCCAAAATGAAAGCTGGATGTTGTTCCAAAGTCAAATTTGCAATCCTGGTGAGAAAATAATGAATTTTATTTGAAATTAAATGTTCATTCCTGACCTTGGAAATACTGAATGTACGCTATGCTGAGGTTGTGTGGTCAGCTGCTGTTTACACTGTCAAGAATGAATTTTCAGTCTTCTAAGCTAAAAGATGAATGAGACATCTTGACACTGTGCAGGAAAATTTGGAAATTTGAACATCTACAATTCCTTGACAAATGGGCAAACTCCATTTGCTGAGAAAGATGGCATGATGCAACTTAAATCTCCATAACAGCTATTAAATGGGTCTTGACATGATACTTTTTTTTTGTCAAATCCCACTTCTTTACAAGCCTACAAGTATTCTAATTTATATACAGTACAGAACAAAGTCTACAAAACAAGGAGAAAAATAAGTAATTCTATTAAACTGGTAAAAGCACAAGTGCCTGTGTAGAAACATATCCTGAGTTTATTAAAAAATGCTCTCAATCAGCATTCAAATGTTCAAAATCAACATTTTGTTTACACACCAACACACTCGAGGTGTTGTGCTGCACCATAGACTGTATATATTGTTGTGCTGTAGCTGCACACAGTCAGTCAGACCCCGGAGGGTCTCAGAAGAAATAAATCTGCTCGTATGCTGTGAAGTTTCCAGCATAGACAGGAGTGTAGTTGTAGATCAGTGACGATGCTTCCTCCTCAGGGTCGTCAAAGCGATGTAGGCTTCTTCTGCCTAAACAAACCACGATGCACATGAAAAGAACACAGTGGAAAAGATTAATGTCTCTTTGGTTAATCAAGTAAAAGAAATACTTGTCAAATAATAATTGTATAAACACAATATATTTCTATAAAGCTGTGCAGCTATTACAGCTCTTTCTTTTTTCTTAAAAAGAAAAATTCCATGAGTGTAATACTGACAAGGGGGTAAAATCTGTATAAAGTAGCCAAAAAAGATTTTTGAGATTTTAAATAGTTTTTTCACTGTTGGATTGACACTTGTATCCATTTCCAATAATAACGGGACCTTGTTATTCAAATTCAATTGTTCTTTCGATATGCACCCAGGAAACCCTGATAATATTTTCTTTTAGTTTAATTCAAATAGGTTTTGCTCACCACCTGTTCAGTTCAGTAACTATAACAGCCACCTACAATATCCGCCTACAACGCCTGTAAATCCAATCTGACCATAATCAGCTCATTGACGAGCTAAATTTCCCAGTGTTCTAATGCAACCAGAGACATTCCATGAAAGGCAGTCTCGGTATTAACAGCCTGACAAAATCTTTGATGGTTAACACATATATATTGTCCCAGAGTATACTTATAAATTCATATCCCACAACCATAGTTAATACCTAATTATATGCTCAGTAATTATCAAAATCTGTGTTTGTCATCTTACCTTCATTGACAAAAAAGTCAGCCAGCAGCGACGATAACTGAACAGCGTGGTGGGAGTGAGGAAAGTTCAGTTTTCTGTCCCACTGAAAACGATTCACCTCTGGGTGCCACTGCACTCCATAGAAAGGATATTTCTTACCTGGTAAGAAGGAAGAGACTAAAATATGACTATGTATATCTATATACATGTTTGTTATTATAATGTGATGAATAATTTGTCAAGTTTGTGAATTCAATATAGAAATAATCATGCAACCTTCTATGGTAGAGACAAAGTGGGCTCCGTTCTCTGCAACATTTGTAGACAGGACAGAGAAGAAATTTTTCAGCTTTTCATTTTCCTGAAAGGTCTGAAAGAATATTTGCTTGTTAGATTTGGTAGTTAGTTTATGTATCTTTATCATTTTTACGCTCCATATTGTATGAAATATTCTAGATTGTTAATGAAAGTATCCCTTGTCTATCTTTTCTTTTGCACATGAACAAATGAACGTGCTTGTGAGCCTTTCGTAATGTTGAAAGGGAGTGTCTTTAATTTTATTTCTCAACACAACAACAAGGCAAAACTCCAGGGGGAAGTGAAACATACAGTACTGTGCAGTGACTCTGGCCACCAGAGGCGTTTACTCTACCTCTACAGTAACTCCAAAATGGTGAAAATTCCCAGTCAGTGGTTCCTGGGTCAAAGCCTTCATAAGCTCATCGGGGAAACCCTCAAACATCTTGCTGGAGTTAGCCTCTGCAGAAAGCAAGGGAAAGAAGGGGAGAAGAACTGAACTTTACATATATGAAAAAAACTACCTAACCTAAAAGATACAAGGCTTCATCAAACAATTACATATTGGCAAGATTAATATACTTAAATGATTTGGTAATAGTCATAATTTAGGGCCCAAAACTTTACTGACACCAAGTGGTACAGCTCACTACATGCAGTTTTCTAGAAAATGAAATAGCCCAACGTATGTCCATTTAAAATAGACTTCCTAAATTCAAGATGTAAATCAAGGCTGTACTTTAATTTGAGTACAAAGAGCACAATACCTGTGGTTAGGTTGAGGGGCAGTGCTATGTTCTCAGCTGAGGTGTTTGCCAACAAATTTTCCCCAGCAACCAGTGCAGTCAGCAGCTGCAAGCCCATGCACGTTCCCCAGATAGGAAAGAAGTCCCCAGCATCATTGGCCTGGAACAGATACAGAGTCCGGGTTTTTACTTTTCTCTGTCTGAAATAATAATGCAACACCAACTGTGGCAACTCCTCTTAGCAATATTTTAACAAAATCTTGGTCCCTCTGCAGCAGAAAAGCAATTTTCCATTAACAGCAAATGTAGCACTTTATTTTACAGGCCCATTATTACCTCATAATTTCCTAGGACATTTCCTTGAAAGAGACATGTAATTTTGCGATAATTATTGAAAAAATAGAGACAAACATCCGTTAATTTGGTTATTTTAGTTAGAGCTTATATAGTCATGGTGAACCATAAAATAAATCATTACCTAAATGTCCTGCATTCACTTTTGTGTGTGTGTTTTTAATATGGGTAAAAGTAACAATAAACTGCACTTTGGCGCACCTCAGTGCAAAGGTTGTTTCTTTTCAGAGTATTAAATTACAATGAATTATATTACTTATTGTTAAAAGTACAATGGTAGTAATCAGTTAAATATAGTGGAGTAAAAAAGTTTATTATTCACCCTGAAATGTTGTGAAGTTAAAACTGCACTTATACACAACACTTGAGTATATTCACTCTGGTATAATAATATAAAATTCAGAAAACAGATTAATAATAAAATAACTAAGAAAATACAGGGAAGGTCTTTTGGCAGTGAGAGAGTGTGTTACAAACAGCCCTTCAAGGAGAAGCAATATAAATGATGATCTGCTCTACAAACCGTCAGAGCGAGTCTGTAGAAAATCTTTGCCACTCTGGCAAACTCTGATGTCTCCAAATCTGCAGATCCACCGATAAAAAGCAGGCTAAACAGAGATCACACATTCAGACAAGTGACAGGTTGAAGACTCAGGAACAAATGTAGTATATGTTTAAGATGTCAATGTGAATTTCCACTGAAACAGAACCTTCCAACTCATTTATAGTCATAACACTGTAGCTCACCCATTTATCTTACTGAAGATATTTTCATATTCAGCACCAGTAAGAGCCAGTCTGTGGGACAGACAAACAAATCACTTACCATATTGTTTAAACAGCATGAAAGTGCAGATTGCAGAGAGACAGTGATGTTACTGTATCAATAAGGCTCATGGGTTAACAACATCTCAGTAATGTGATTTATGTCTCCAGATATGCTGCATGTTTTTTAAAAGAAGCTATTCTTACCAAACAATCTGACATTAGTTGGATATTACTGTAAGTATCCCTGTATACATTTATTAAAGAGTGTTCTTTACAGTTTTTGCTACTTCCTTGGTGAAAATAATATGTCATAAAGCTCCAGTGAAATTAATGGTAAAGTTTGTCTTTTCATTTGTTAACACCACATTAAACCAAGACTACAGGACTCAACCCACCTGATAGGCATCACTCTGCTGCCCCCAGACTCGATGTATTTCACATAGGAAGAAGGTATGTAGGTCCTCCCGAACGGTTTCATGACTTCATCTGAAACTAGCTGTGTCAAAATACCTGTAAGATAAAAATGCAGCAGCTGTGAATGCACAGTAGAAAAAACTCAGACATGGTTCAGTTAAAAAGAAGGTGTCATTTGTTCTTAAACTTCCTTCAGCATTCAGTCCTAATAGTACTTTTTACTCACCGATCACAGGTCTGTCGTTCACAGGCCCCTGGCTGAGTGTTGTTGGCATAGTTTTGCTGCAACAGAAGCAGCACACAAAAATTGAGCACACAAATGCTGAAAAGCCCATGTTGGACATGTTTTTACTTCAGTCTCCACTGACCAATCACAGCTTAATTCAGCACAGCAGTTCTATGAGGCAGTTAGAGAGCAGTGGTTGATAACAGAAACTGCAGCAGACTTATATATGACGTGTTTTAGAGGATATAGTCAGTACAAGGAAGTGTGGAATGTCCTGATTTACAAGCTCTGCAGTGCACATGTCAGTCACACATGTTGAATGCTGAGGTAAACGCAAACATTCTGCTGACAGCGTGGGTTTTTTTCAGAAAATTCTGATCATTTAGTGTGTGGGAAACACTGCAGCATCATGTGGCAAGGTCGGGTTTTGCAATAAAGAACACATAAATTACACAGACGTTCTCAGTTGACATGGCATGCTTGAATTCAAAGGACAGTCAAACAGGTTTTCATCCAAAATTAAAAAAAAGGCTTTGTGTTTATAGGATTTTAAAGGTACAGGTGTGCACTGACAAACTCCTTGAGAGGGCTCCTGGTCTGTCTACTCTCCTGACCGCTGCTGCTCATGTTAACTAATTAAATATATAAATATTTTTTGGCTTCTACACAAACTGGGTAACAGGGGTTATGTGTCTTATAATGCCTGAGTTCCATCCTCTGATGAAGACCATGAGAAGTGGTTAAAAGGTAGTATGTAGACCTTGATTTAAGATTATTTCATCACAGGGGTTTTATGGCTTTATCTGTGAGGGTTACATTATTCATTCATTCACTGTAAGTATCCATTTTATCCTCATATTCACTGATGGTGTGAGCTTACTTGGTAAATGAAAATGCAGCTGGGGAACAACTTCAATAACTCAATAACAGTCACTGCAGTGATTGTACAACATTCAATCCCTTCATCTTTCTTTTTTCTGTATCTAGTCTTTTATCCACATACAAAATCAGTGCAAGCCCTTGCACCGGGGCTGGATTACTACCTGGGCAAAATGGGAAGCTGTATCATTTATAGACCCCCAAAGCCAGCCACAAAAAGCCTGTAAGCCCATTATTGAGGAACTGGGTGACATGATGGAGCAGTGGTTGGCACGGTCACCTCACAGCAAGGTTTTGTGTTCAAACCTGTTGGCTGACTGGGAACTTTCTGTTCTTCCTGTGTCTGCATGTGTTCTCTCTGGTTACTCCAGCTTCCTCCCACAGTCCAAATAACATGCAGGTTAGGTTAACTGGCAACTCTAAAATGGCCACAGGTTTGACTGTATATCTGTATGTGTCAGCAGCGTGATAGACTGGTGACCTGTATAGGGTCTGTTCTAGCTGGAATTGGCTCCGGCCCCCACACGGCGCTTTAAGTTGTATACTGTACATAATGGTTGGATGTTGGGCAAATTTGCACCACTAAAGTACAATATAAACAGTTTTTGCATTGTTAGCTAATGTTTTGGCCCTGTTTTGTAAAGAGGATAATTTACTTTTAAAAGTTTATAACGTTTTCACACAGTGCATTGTCCCAAAATAAGGTTTGTTTTATGAAATTACCACAAACTACTTGTCATGTACATCTGCAAATAACAAAGCTTCCATGTGTAGCAGCATACTTTCAGTTCTGATGCCTCTTTTCTTATTGTTTGTTTATCAAAAAGTTAAGACAGACCTCTGCATTCAGGTCACAGAGTACCTATGTAGAGGGTACTATAAAGCTGGCCACTAGTGTGTCTCCATTATATCAGATTTAGTGGTAAGGTGGAGACAAATTGATGTTAGAAATTAGTCACCACTTGTGTGTGACTGTTGTTGACCAGCAGCTGCTTTAATGGGCTTAGCCTGAGCAAAGTCTTTTACAACTCATGTTGTAAAAACACAAAAACCTGAGTGAGTGAGAAAGTCTTTTAAACTGATCTTTAGCAATGATGTACACTTTATGTATTTGGTTATGTGGAGTTATATCACAAGATAAAGTTATATGTATAGTCAGACTGAAAAAGTCAGTGTTGCATTGTTTAAAAAAACATTTTAGTGAGAGATAAACATTGTACAAGATCACATCAATCAACCGTATTCATCAGCCACTACATAAAATCTCAAAAAACTCTCAAATTTAGGTTTCCCAGAGGGCATCTTTACTTTATATTACTGGTTGTTAATGTCAGAGACATCAGGTTCACTGAGATACTGGCAGCTTCCAGATGCTACAGCATCTCATTCACAGTAGTTTTTTCTCTTTTTAGAAATACTGTTTAGATATTACATAGACATTAGACATTCATGTCCAAAGAAACACCTGGTTTAGTCCATTCAGTCAGACATTACTCCAAAAGAGGAACTTTCTTGACAGCAGTTGTCTCCATCTTCAGTGGGTAAACAAATCAGAATTCAACCATTTCAATCTTGTTCTGCAAACAAAATACACAAAATCAAATTTTAAGGCACTTTTCAGTTCAAGTCTCAAAGAGTCCATACCCACATTAATATTCAAACTAATATTCAAATAAGATCACGCTAGCATGCTGACATATGGTACTATTCATAAGGTACAACAAACACTAGTTGAGATGTATCCTCAGGGGACCTGTATAGAAAGTAATAGTAATCAGTAGTTCACGAGATATTTCAGTCTGGACCGCATTGGCGGACACGCTGATTGATATTCCCATGGAGAGGGACACACTGCCCTCGGTCAGTTCGCATGGTGACTTACAGTACACTTGGCTTGAAAACTTTAGTGTCAAATCCTGGTTGGGCAAGGCTCTGCTTTGTTATCTAGAAACACAATAGCACTTGCCTTAGTTTAAGGTGCCCATGCCATGCTCATTTTGCTAATTTCCAGCCATTTAATGTTTAATCTTAGGTACCTCTAGATTAGCTTGGCACCCCTCACAACTCCAAATAGTTTGTAATTGTTTCAGAATCAGAGAGCCAGAAATCCTCTTCCTTAATATAACTTACTGTTGATGAACTATTTAATGTTGTTTACAACTGACTGGCTAAATTCCACATTTGCTCCACTGAACGATATGTGCAAATTAGAAGTATTCAAGGTTTATTTGGTAGTGGAATCAATACAAGAATCTTTGTCTTAATCATATCCCAGCCTTAGTGCATCTTACCCCTGAGCCTTTCTATTTCTTCACAAACATCGTTGTACACAATGGCTAGCAGCTCTTCTTTTAGCTTTAGTCCATCCAGAAATACTGAAAACACAGATATAAAACATTTAGATGCCATTTACAGTATGTAATTATTTAACACAAGTACATCTCTTGTTACAGTAGCTTCAAAATTCATGATTCTTTATTGACAACCACATAGAAACCCTATCTGCTTCACAAAAATCATAGTAATAATCCCAACAGCAGTGCCTTAATTATTTTCACCCAACAAAACTGGGTGAATGTCGGGGCTGGTCCTTGGTGGTTTTTGGGGGCTTGGGTGGTTCTATTAATTTACTTTTGATCAATGATATTACTGATCATCCGCCAGTGTTTTTAGTTTATAATATTCATCATAGAAAACGAAGACAAATACTAATCCCATAATTTACTTCATGAATGTGATATAACTGAATTGTATACTATTTTGTCTTTATATTGTTATTAGTTATTTCTTCTTGTATTGTAAACGCACTACCTTTTTCTTTTGCTTTTTTTTTCTTTTCTCACAATTTTATTTCTGTAATGCTATTTTATTTTTTACATGCTTGAAATAAACTAAACTAAACTAAAAAAACTAAAACTATCACATACTGGACACATATTGAGTGAATCACAGGAAATTATTCCAGAAACTGTGTGACGCCCAAGTACCTAAATATATTGTGAGATGTTTGTCATACTGGTATGCCCACCAGACTATGTCTGTTAGATGGGATAATTGTATATCTGCGCCTTTTCAGACCGGTAACGGCGTAAGACAAGGTAGTCTGCTTTCCCCAATTTTGTTTAATTTTTACATGAATGATCTGTTTAAAGAATTAAATATGTGCAGAACGGGATGTATGGTCGGTGACAAAGTTGTGAATCATTTAATGTATGCAGACGACCTTGTGATTTTTAGTCCCAGCTCAGCAGGTCTTCAGCAGCTCTTGAACGTGGCTTTGTTTAAAGCGTATTGTAAGTGATTTGTTCGTATCATCTCGAGTTAGTACATTTTCCGCTGTTTTAAGAAACCTGATGTTTAAATTTATTTGTCGCTTGAATGGTTCAAAAAATCATATCATTTTATTGTTGACTAGTGTTGCACACAGTGACATGCGTTTTACTTCTGCTCTCTGGAAACACTGGTATACCTGTCTTTTAAAGGGGCAGTAGTTTTATGGGTGTTCTTGTGCTCTCGTTTTTATGTATTTTCTGTTTTTATTGTTTCATTTTTAAACTGTTCTTTTATTGCTTTTATTTGTTTTGAACCTGGACCCTGAGTCTGTAATAAAGTGTCATCACATATTATCTTTGACTGGACACTTACCAATTCCAGACACCATGCTCTCCATCTCCTGGCGGTTCTTTAGGTACATTGGCCAGACATGTCCATCGAAGTACCCAGGAGGATCAGGAGGCGTGTACACCCTGAAGCTGTCAAGTAGAGAGGAGGAAAACCTTTTATCTTGCTTTTTATTTATTAAACCTCAGTGGAAACAAAAATTCACTTAAAGGTAAAACAACAGATAATGTACAGAGAATGCCAAAAAAAGAAAACACACAAAAGTGGAAATTAAACAGATTTTTGACACCTTCGTCTCCTTTTGCAGACATCATAAGGTATTTCTATGTAGTATCTTTTGTCAAACACCTCATTCAAAGGCCTGGAAAGGTAAAACACAAACAATAAACAAAGCATTAGGAAATAAGTCTTCATATAATTAAGTGAATCCTGGTGAACAGTCACTATAGCTCTTCTGGTAAGAGATAAACCACAAATAAATGGTTACTTTCCAAAAACAGTCATAATTTAAGTGGAAATCTTGACCTGAAAAAAGCAATTGCATAATAATTACATACTGTAATGATTGTCATTTTTGGTTAGTGCATATATCATTTTTCACTGATGCTTTATTTTAGGAGTCCATAGTTTCCTTAACAGAACTAGATTATTTGGTAACAATTACAGAGAAAATAGAGATCATGTTAATTTGTTTTAGCTTAGTTAGTTGCATTGTGAAACAAACTTACAAAAAACTTATGGGCCTATAAAATAAAGTGTTTTCAACTGTTAGGAGTTTGCTGATCTTTTAACTGAAATAAACTTCAATAACTCCACTAAATCCTTCCTCATGTACCTGTAGTTGAAAATGAGGAAGCCTTCCACTACCAGCACAAACACCTCCATATCGACTGTCAGTGCCGTGTGCTCGGGGGTCACACCTTTCTTCCTCAGGAATGACTCAGGATCTCTTCGCCATGAGTCCACCTCTCTCATCATCGTGTCCATATGGAGAGCGTCGAGCACTTAAACAGAATACATTGAGATTACAGGGTAAGCATATACATTCTCAAACACATGCAGACGCACGTTTTCAAAGACATTTAAATGCACTTTCATACTGATTTGGTACAGTTAAAATGATCTATGATAATACATGTTGTTTTGTAAAGATTTAATATGCTCTCTGTTTACTTTAATGGGATACAAGCATTGCTGTATTTAAATGTGCACATGGCTTACAGTTTTTAGTTTAAAATGTTATGTTTTGGACAGTTTAGGGCTCTGACCATGTGCTTTGCCACTGTAATCCTACTGTAATCTTACAGTTTATTTACAACTTTAGAGGACTTATACAAAACTACCTTGTGGCCAGAATTGCTATAATTTAAACTATGTGGTAAATATGTAATTTATTACTGCTTATTTTTTTCTTATATGATCAGTTTGGTTTGGATTAGAATGTACACATGGCTGTTTTGCATTGTGTTTAAAAAGTGAGCATGTTGTTGTCTCACACTTGATTATTCTAACCAGATCATAATAAAGTTATTTAAGTAATATTTTCAAAAGCCACTCTCTTACTCTCAAGTAGTTATTTTGGCAATTATTTTACTTATATTTGAGTTATTGTTACCATAAAATAACAATACTTTTACTTGACCCCTCCTTGAACCGCCACCTTATTGTGGTGGAGGGGTTTGAGTAGCCGAGTGATCCTAGGAGCTATGTTGTCCGGGGCTAGTCATTCTTTTACTCCGGAGTGCTTGTATGATGGGTGACGGGTCAGACTAAGAGTGGTTCAAAAGCCCTTTATGAATAGATTAAAATCAAGGACCGTGACGTCACCCGGCATGGCGCAGCTGGGGCTCCACCCTGGAGCCAGGCCCAGGCTTGGAGCTCGAATGCGAGCGCCTGGTGGACGGGCCTCCCCACATGGGGCCTGGCCGGGCTTCGCCTGAACGAGCGACGTGGGGATGTCCTCCTGTGGGCCCACCACCTGCAGGAGGATCCGTAAGGGGCTGGTGCACATTCAGAACCTCAGCATTTTCATAGCTGGAAATCAAATAAATTTAGCTCTTTAAAAGTATCACTGAAACTGATGGCTTCAGTCGTTCCATAATATCACACTCATTGTTACAGTACACATGTATAGATGTATATAAAACAAAGTACTGTGTGTACTTTATATGAAAATGGAGAATGTAGTGTGATGACGGTGCTAAAATAAAGGAGATTCATCTTGAACCCACTTCCTCAAAGGAACACTTTTGGCTTTCACTTCACTCCTCTGAGGACTGTATACTCAGAGCCCCCTCTCCTCCCACCCTCCCATAACCACCTTCCTGCCTTTCCCTTTTCCTTCTCACTTTTTCCCTTCTCTTCCTTCTCCAGTCCCTTCACCCCCCTCAGCTAGTGTAGCTGCCCAAATTCTCTTAATCACACAATAAAAAAAGTGATGGAAAACGCTCCGACTGGGGACTCCGAGTTTGTCCATAACAAACACCATGTTCAAGCATAAGGGTGTTCACCAGTGCACTTGGCACCCGGACACCCTAGGTGGAGGTCGATGATCGACTTTGTGGTTGTTTCATCTGACCTCCGGCCGTATGTCTTGGACACTCGGGGGAAGAGGGGGCGGAGCTGTCAACTGATCACCACCTGGTGGTGAGCTGGATCCGATCGTGGGGGGGGAAGCAGGACCAGCCC